TCATTTTTTTCGATGCCATCCAACTCCACAACAAGCACAAGCTCCACCTTCAACAACAAGGGTACCCCTGCCCAATCAAAACTCTTCTTCTGTGACATTGAATTCAAAGAATCTCAGTCGAGCTTCGCCCTATTTGGCGCCAATTCCCTCCCTCTTATCCGTCGTGTCAGCCCCCAGATCCAACACCTCAAGGATTCCGAACGGATGGACCAAAGCGACTTTTCCCTAAATCCATGGTCGCTTTCATCGAGTCCTGGACCAAGATCATAGTGGGTCCTATTGAATGCCCTTCAGTTATCTCAAATAAGCAATTAGGGCTTTTGACGGTTGTACTGATGATATGGGCTCCGTTCCTTGTGAAGAGGGTTCTCGCCAGGGACACCCTAATTCATGATTCAAAGTTGTGGTTGGCGTTTGCAGTGTTCATTACTTCTTTAGTGCTTCTGGGACAATGCATAGCATAATTAGGAAAGTTCCCATGTTCTTGGTGCACTTAATGTCTTAAAATTATGCTAGGAAAATGCTCATGTTCTTGGTGCACTTGGGAAAATGCCCATGTTCTTTGTACAGCTCTCTAGGACAATGCATAACATAATTAGGGACACCCTAATTCATGATTCAAAGTTGTGGTTGGCGTTTGCAGTGTTCATTACTTCTTTAGTGTTTCTGGGACAATGCATAACATAATTAGGAAAGTTCCCATGTTCTTAGTGCATTTAATGTCTTAAAATTATGCTAGGAAAATGTCCATGTTCTTTGTATAGCTCTCTAGGACAATGCATAACATAATTAGGAAAATCCCCAGTGTTTCAGAAACACTGCAACCAAGATGAAATCAGATGGAGACAGAGAGCTAAATCTACTTGGCTTAAGGTGGGGGATAAGAATAGTGGCTTCTTTCGCAAAATGGCCAATGCTCGAAATAGAGCCAAGGAGATCAGTAAATTAGAGAGTGAGGGCAGAATAGGTGAATCGATTGCTAAGATCAAAGCTTTGGCTTCTTCTTTTTATAAAAAGTTATACAAAGAACCCTGGCCAGTTAGACCTCTTCTTTCTTACACCCATTTCAAAAGGCTCTCTAATGAAAAAAAAGCTTTTCTAGAAAGACCTTTCACTAAAGAGGAAGTTAAAGAAGCAATTGATAAGATGGAAATAGAGAAATCTCCTGGCCCATATGGGAGTTCATTAAACAAGATGTGTTGAATGTGTTCCAAATTTTTCATAGTAGTGCCTCCTTGCAGAGAAGTCTTAATTTCACTTTTATTTCTCTCATTCCTATAGTGGTTGGGGCTGTTAACATCAAAGACTTTAGACCTATTAGTCTTCTCAATAGCTTTTATATAATTCTGGCAAAAGTCCTGGCTAAGAGGATGAAGAAGGTTTTATCTAGTGTAATATCTGAAAATCAAAGTGCCTTTATTCCAGGGAGACAAATGCTGGACAGTGTTCTTATTGTTAATGAACTCATTGACTCTAGGAGAAGATCTGGGACACCAAGCTTGGTTTGTAAGTTGGATATTGAGAAGGCTTATGACCATGTGAATTGGAAGTGTTTGGACTTTGTGCTTGCACAAATGAATTTTGGGTAAAAATGGAAGAACTGAATGAAAGTTTGTGTTGCTTCCCCTAAGTTTTCAATTTTGATCAATGGTCAAGTTACGGGTTTCTTTGAAAGCTCAAGGGATATTAGACAAGGGGACCCTCTTTCCCCTTTCCAATTTAGTAAGGTAGTTGTCTCTAATGGTCAGTGGGAAGGTTTTGAAATCTGCCTAGGCAGGGGAGAAGGTGCACATGTTACAATTTGCAAATGATACTTTGTGTTTTATTGGTATTTCTTGAGACCAGTTGGAGAGTATGTTGGGGATGCTGTGCTGGTTTGAAGTGGTTTCAGGGCTCAAAGTAAATTTGGGAAAGAGTGTTCTTTTTCTAATGGGTCAAGTGGGCTTGTAAGAGTTGGCTGAAGTCTTTGCATGTAAAGTGGATCATCACCCTAGGAAATACCTTGGGCTCCCTCTAGGTGCCAAGTGTACCTCGAGTGCTATTTGGGATCCTGTGGTAAAAAGGATGGAAAGGAAGCTGGCTTCAAGGAAAGCCAAATATCTTTCATCAGGGGGCAGAGTTACTCTCATTAAAAGTATTCTTTCTAACCTACCTACATATTTCTTACCCCCTCTTCCCCATCCCTTCCAAAGTAGCAAAAAAGTTGGAATCCCTTCAAAGAAATTTCCTTGGAGAGGGTGGGAGGAAAAAAGAAAAATACATCTTGTTAAGTGGGATCATGTCTGCCTCCCTGTGGAAGATGGTGGGTTGGGTATAGGAAGCTGAAGGTTTTCAACTCTTCTCTCCTTAGTAAATGGCTTTGGAGGTTTGGTGTCGAGAGGAATGCTTGGTGGAGGACCCCAATTGCTTCGAAATTTGGGGTGGACTGAGGTAATTGGAAAATCTTTAGATCCCTTTCAGAGTTGGGGGTGCTCACTCTGAAAGGAATTTTGAAATCTTTTCTGACTTTTTCTGATGGCCTTGCTCTCAAGGTTGGTAGGGAAGACATGTTGAAGTTTTGGAAGGATTCTTGGTGTTTAGACACCCCCTGCCTGAAGCCTTTCCGCTGCTTTTTCAGTGTGCCTTGAGCCCTGAGGCTTTATCTCCTGGTGTCCCCCTTCTAGACGAAATCTTTTTGATTGTGAGATGGATCAGCTGTTGGCACTTCTGCAATTTTTACAGAGGCAATCTATTTCTGCTAATATGGAGGATGAGTGGAGGTGGAGATGGAGTAGAGATGGTGTTTTTACTGTTAAATCTTTGGCTTCAAAGTTTAGTAGAGCAAGCAAGCAGGTGTGGAATTCTGTCAGTCCATCTAAGCATAATTTGAGTGATGGCTCTAAAAAGTGCCTCACGAGAACTAATTTGGTTAGGAGAGGGGTTCAGCTTTTAGACCTTAGTTGTGGCTTATGTGGGCTTTTGCTAGAGACAGTTGATCATCTTGGCATCCA